TGAAAACTATGTAATTATCCTTCTAGTGTAATAAGGAGGTTAGTAAAATGTATGTATTGAATGTCTGTCCTGACAAAAAATGACGGCATGTTTGGCACAAAGGTAATGTAAATGTTTGTATGGCAAAGGACTACGAACGAATAAATAAATAAATAAATAAATATATTTATCTGATGTTGATTTCTTGTTTTTTACTAATAAGTTTCATCGCGATTTGAGCGGCTGTACCCGGGTGGTGGAGGGTACTCCTAGAAATTCTTGGTGGGGGAGTGCCGCACAGTTCTCCAAATCGTGACCTTATTTCAGACCAAAACATTTCATTTTTCACATCCATTTTCAGACCTGACATCTAAGGAATTATGTCATCATTTCTTAGATTCAACGTCAACAAAAAATATTTCTTATTCGAATATTTCTCTTTCTTTCTTACACATTTGGAAATAAAGCTCATTCTCTCGCCTCCGCAGAGGCCTCTTTGTATCGTAGGGAGGCTGTAGAAAGGGAAAAACAAGACATGCGGGGGACAATGGGAAGGGAAAAGAGAAGAAGCGAGGTTTTTCCCTCTTCCCATCGTCTCCCGCGCGCTACCTATTTTTCGATTATTGCTATTTTTATTGGGATACTCAGCGGGAGCCTCTGCGGAGAAGAGAGGTTCATTCTCTCTTGCAAAAGCTTTAAATTTTGTCTTTAAGGCCCAGTTCAGACGCCGAACTTTTCATGAGCCGAACCTAATTCGAATTAAGGCCGACCCAAACAAAAACAACAACAATTTTATTCTTTGTAGGCACAAGGATTTGAAAGGCTGCCCCGCAAAGAGCTGGAAAGCTAGTCGTGCCGGGGCAAGCCAAGTACATGAATAACATATCTACTAAAAACAAAAACAAAACATTAAACTATAATTACAGTCATACTAAATGGTTTTAGGAGAAGTAGGTTGTAGATAAGGGAAGAATTCGTCATGTAAGACCGGTGCACACAAAACACAGCTTCAGTAGTGCACACGTCTCGACCCAAATCATTTAGGCCGGCAGAATTGATTGTGACGCCGAACAAAATTCAAAAGGCAAAACTCCAGGCTAAACAAATAGACTTAGGAAAAAGGAGCTGGTGAAAGGAGGCTAAACAATAGATCGTAAGAATGTATTATTATTTTCAAACTTAACTGTGTTCAGCTGGATGATTCCTAGTTTTGATGATTATCCGTTCTAATGCCCCCGCCAGCCTTTTATCGGCACATGATGGCCTTAGCACTTTTTTTAAGTCGTAAAGCTTTGTTATTGCTGCCTGATTATTTGTGGTGGTAAAAAGTTCTTGGTAGTAAATTATGAGGACACATCTACCAAGTTTTCCGGATGCTAAATAAATGGCACGCTATTTCCAAGTATGACAGGCATACACTCACACTCTTTGTATGAGTAATTTCCGTTTTATATCCCGAGCGTGTACGTACTGACTAGGGTGACTACTAATGGAGGTAAAAACTTCCGCAAACATTTTATCTGTTTTTACATTAAAAGGCTTTACAAGCCGTAGTCTAACATTGCCAGTTACCTTCGTCATAAACTTTCAGCAGTAACAAAACAATTAAACAATTTTTTTTTCAGTTTGGGAAGACGCCAATTTGAATGTGCATTATGCATGATTAAAAAGGAGCCGCTAATTTCTAGATAAGAGTGCACAAGGAACAGGGAAAATTGCCATCTTCTAAGCGGCGTCAAATTGACAACTCTGGGCTACAATATTTTGAATCAAAGATTCATTTGCTTTCAGCTAAAGTTTTTAATTAATTTTAAACGTATTGGGAGCTCAACCTTTATTAAAAGGACGAGTCACTCCTTTTTTTCATGGTAACAAACTGCTAAACAAGCCGAACCGTCAAAGTAAGGCAACAGGTTCTGCGAAAAAAACAATTCTTAAAAATTAAAAACACCCATAGAGGTTTTACCTCTACCCCAAGGTTTAACTTATATTTTGTAGTTATTATATTTTCAATTGTAGTTTTTCTTTGGGTACTTGCGTGTTTCATCTACCGTTGCGAATGCGTTCCATATGAGTAATTAACCTGGACAAGGTGTTTAACTAAACTCGTGCCTGATAAACAAAAAACAGTTTAACCATTGTGCCCCAAAGAAACGCTTTTTTTCTAATTATTTTGCTGCTTGATAAATTTTGATTACCTGTTGTGTTGTTTTTTTCTTTCCTTTGTGGCTCCCAAGCTGATAAATGACTATTTTACGCGTTTTATTGCAACCGGTTTGTTTCCTCTTCATTACAAGCAATCTTTATTCCTGTCCACCAGAGATTGTTAAAAGTCAGGCCTATATCACCCTCGTTCGTCCTTGTCTGGAATACGCTTGCAGCGTATGGGACCCACATACTCAAAAGCATTGCCAAGATATTGAAGGAGTACAACGGCAAGCCGCCAGATTTGTAAAAAAAAAAAATGCTAGGAGCGGGAACCCGATCCAGTCACTAATCTCATGTGCTCAGGGTTAAATTTTAACCCGGGTTTCTTTTTCTTTTTAGCAAAAGCACTCTCTCCGGATAATTTTCTCTATTATTTTTAGAGTATCCTATCATCGAATTGTAGGCAAAGAGAGAAACTGAATTTGCTTTTCAAGCTCTCATATATCTAAGTTCAAATTTCGCACAAACCCTGGGTTATCTTAACCCAGCTTCGAACATTAATCCGGCCCTGAACGATTTGAACTGGCATTCACTAGAACTGAGACGCAAAATTGTACGACTTACTACCATGTACCAAATAGTGAGTACGTTGAGTACATTGCACGCCCAACCCGTGTTACACGCTCTTACCATAGCAGTAAGTTTAGAAACATTTTGTAACAGCAATAAGTACCTATAAGTACAATATTTTCACTACAACTCTAAAAGAATGGAAAACTTTCCTTTTTATTAGATCAGCCCTTCGTGGACACATTTAAACCTGCTGTTACTAATTATTTTAATCTCCCTCATTGACTTTTTACATCAGTGATTTTATTATTTATTTATTATTATTATTATTATTTATTATATAGACACAAGTGTTTTACTGGAAAATNATCTAAGTTCAAATTTCGCACAAACCCTGGGTTATCTTAACCCAGCTTCGAACATTAATCCGGCCCTGAACGATTTGAACTGGCATTCACTAGAACTGAGACGCAAAATTGTACGACTTACTACCATGTACCAAATAGTGAGTACGTTGAGTACATTGCACGCCCAACCCGTGTTACACGCTCTTACCATAGCAGTAAGTTTAGAAACATTTTGTAACAGCAATAAGTACCTATAAGTACAATATTTTCACTACAACTCTAAAAGAATGGAAAACTTTCCTTTTTATTAGATCAGCCCTTCGTGGACACATTTAAACCTGCTGTTACTAATTATTTTAATCTCCCTCATTGACTTTTTACATCAGTGATTTTATTATTTATTTATTATTATTATTATTATTTATTATATAGACACAAGTGTTTTACTGGAAAATATACCACTCGTAAAATTCATAAAAACTACATCCGGGACCCGAGTGGTTTATTTTCCATAATCTCACACGTGAGTTAATCGATGACGTAATTTCGGTAATTTCCCTCCAAAATTTGTAGGCGTCTTGCGTCCTTTGAATTTTATTTACACATTTTTCAAAGCTTTGCTTATATTTTGTCATTGCAGAGCCCTATTCAGCTAAGTGTTGTTTCTCAAGATTATTGTAAACAATGTCTTATATTGCTGTACTGTAAATTTGAGCCGTCACAATTACTTTTTGGCGAATAAAAATCTATTATTTTATCGATGTCTTTTTGTCTTTATAATAAAAAGAACATTACACGGCGGTTTGAAGATATGAATTTTATTTTCTCGTGGCAAAAACAATATTTTACTCACTCGCTGCCCTCGTTCGTAAAATATTGTTTTGCCACTCGAAAATAAAATTCATATCTTCGCGCCACCGTGTAATATCCTCTATATATTATTATTATTGTTGTTGTTTTTTTGTTTCGCACATTCACAGTGATGGGAAAAAATAGTAAAGCGCTCTACCGACTGAGCCAATCCTGCTGCGGTACTTTCCTCACTCTAAAATGTCATTTTTGGTGTAAGAGCTTCAGGATATCAATTGAGTTGTCCTATTTCACCTGCCCGAAACCGTTACGTTGTATCAAATACTTGTTATCATTTTACAAAAAGGCCAATAAAAGCATCGCCAGTTTAAAATACTGTTATTGTTTTTTATTGACATTTCGTCGCTGGTTAAAATTTTGACTTTCCCTTTTTTGATCTCAAAATTGCTTAGTTTATAGACGTATAGCCGAATATTAAATTTGCAACGCCTGTAAATTAAAAACCTGTTTGCTCCAGTAGTTTTGCACACGTGTCGTTTCAGTTTGCTCCCTCTCAAGGTAGTTATTAATACAATAGAACCTTCCATGGTTTTGCGAAAATCTGTCGAAATGTAGAAAAGAACGCCTTAAAATAATTAAAGATGCCTTTGGGAGCGTCCTTTTTAACTGAACTCAGGGTGTTTATTGACTCACTACTCTGTTCTTATTCAACTGCACAAAGAAGAAAAACTGTTAAATAATAAGTCCTAATAAGACTGAAAATGATGCTAATAGGTACCCACCAAAGAGTAATGCAGTTGACAGTTTTTCGGTTGCGGCGGACAACAGTAGTATAGAGGGGGTAGATACTTGCGCTTCCACTAGCAAAAACGTTCGCACGCCCGAAGAAAACGCCTGCACTGCAGACTATACTTAGACAAGCTTAATCGCCGTGTTGCATGTTTAATCGAGGGCCGGGCAGTTAAGGCTGAGGAGCTATCTACTGTATTTGGCTAGCACCATCTGCAAGCACTCCGTAACTTTCTAAATCTGCATGTCCTTGTCTATAAGTTTATCAACGGAATAG